GTTGTTGCAGACTTACAGTGTCACAACTAAAATTTACCTAGTGCATCTCTTTCTCTCAAAAAAGAAAATCACCACTAAAAATTCGTTGGATATACTATAAAAGTACCTAAATTTTTTTTTCTTAAAAAAAATCTTTAGTGTATTGATTATACATAATAGGGACTCTTGATCCATTCATGACAATAACCATCCTTATTCAGAGAGTTATATTTAAAAGAAAAAAACTCAACTCAAAAAACATAAAGCAGCCAAGGTATTTGGAATTGGAGTGATAATATATAAAGAAACCAACTTGATCTCTCTTCTAAAAATTTGACTGAAAACTTCGAGCGTGGGTGGTGAATTAAGTTACCTCAGGTTTATAGTGGCACATTATATTTGAACCTACCTTGAGTCACGAATTTGCCCAATGTTCTGAAGGCTGAACAAATTGTTGTAGAACTTGCTAGAGTCTAACAAGCTGCGGTGTGTTCCTGTTTCTTTTACTTGTCCATTCTCCACAACTGCAATTATATCAGTATTGATAATGGTTGACATCCTATGCGCAATCAGGATAACAGTCCTTCCCTGCATAGCCTTCTCCAGGGCGTCTTGAACCAGTTTTTCCGACTCCGAATCAAGTGCACTTGTTGCCTCATCAAGTAAAAGAATTGGAGGATTCTTTAGAATGGCTCTTGCTATTGCAATTCTCTGCTTCTGTCCACCTGATAACTGGACTCCTCTTTGGCCTACCTGCAGTCCATTTCAACCTCAAAATATTATTAGTTGGTGGATTTACGTAGCACGGTAGAACATAAAAGTTTGCAAAGTAGTGAATGGAGGCCAGATGGCCAACCTCCGTTGAATACTGATTTGGTAGTTGAGAGACAAAAGTATGTGCATTTGCCATCACTGCTGCATTCTGGATCTGTCGATCACTTGCATCCATGTTTCCTACTTTTATATTATCCTTGATGGTGCCAGCAAAGAGTGATGGTTCTTGGGATACCGCCCCAATATTCTTTCGAAGGAACTTTAAATCAAGATCCTTGATGTTATGATTGTCAAGGAGTATCACCCCTGCAGCGTGTAGCACATTGTCTTAGCCTAGAATTAGATAGAAATCTCGTCTGAATTAAACTTGCGCAAGCATCTGCATAAACATTTTAATATTGAAATTAGTTCAACTTGTAACAAGCACCACCAGGAAGAAGCCGCAAACCTTCGGAGGGATCATAGAACCTTTCAACCAAGGAGATAACAGTACTTTTTCCACAACCACTGCTGCCCACTAAAGCAACCATCTTTCCTGCAGTAATTGACAATGAAAAGCCCTGAAGGATCAACTTTTCCGGCCGAGAAGGGTAAGCAAAGTATACATCACGTATTTCTATGTTGCCACCAATCTTCTCAACTTCCTTCCCCCTTGAATCATAACTTATAGCTGGCTTTCTTAGGATCACCTTGAAAACCTCATATCCTGCAGCCTTTGCCTGATTGAATATTTGTATGTCCGGTGCGGCATAAGTAAGTGATCTGCTAGTTAAAAGAATCCAGTATTACATATATGTTAAGGCGCTGGACTGAAATATTTTATTCTCCTCAAGGAAGGGTCTTTTCTTACATGGACCCAAAGAGAATGCTCATCACCGCAGCAATAACATCCCCTCCTTTTGCTTTTCTGGAAGTGACAGCAACGGCTCCAATCCATATGATCAATGCCCAAGAACAAAAGGTCACAGCTTGAAACATGCCAGTTCCAACTCCTTTTATCAGCGCTTCTCCTTTGCTTAAAGAGAACAGCTTCTCCAAGCACTTAGAGAACGATTTAATTGCAGAATTCTCTCCAACAAATGCAAATACTGTTTTGATTTGAGAGACAGTCTGTGGCATGTAAACCTTGGATGTTAATAACTGAGATAACTTATACGCTCATATGTATTAATCATCTTACGGGTTAAATTATTGGAATGAGAAGCAGCTATACTGTGAACAACTTATTACCTGTTCCACCATGGATGTTGCTTCTGATATGTAAAGCATCTTAGTAGCCGAAATAGCATTCATTTTCTTGGTGTAGGTAGCTCCAATCACAAGAATCATAGGAGCAACCAAAAAGGTAAGAAGGGACACTTCCCAACAACATATGACAGCAATAAAGATTCCAGAAAAGAATGTTGCAAAGCTTGAAAGAAAATGGCCCAGCTGGGAGTCAGAAGTTATGTTAGCAATATGTCAACATTTTGAAGATAGCTGAAGCGAGGTGAATCAAATGCAATTTATGTACCTTCTCCCCTATTGCATCTTGTATGATACTCATGTGATAACTCATTCCACTAATGATTTTCCCACTTGTTATATCTGTATCAAATGCTCCAATCTCCTGGCTGAGCAATGCTCTTAGGAATGCTAACCTTAGTCGTGCCATTTGTCTTTCACTTGTATACATCCAGCATCCAATCTCTGCAAAGGTCAAAACCATAAAGACGGAGCAGTAGAAGGGAGTTCTAGGGAGCCCGAAAGATCATGTTGTCAGCACTTCCAATGTCACGAACAAAGAGGGTACTAGTTCATTTCTCCTTTCTTTTTAACTACAATTTAGAATTCATTTGCGAATGAACTATATAGTATTTATCCACCAATTTATTTAGCCAGGGGGGGGCCATTTGAGATAATCTAGCTAGTAAGTCCAATGGCAACATAAGATATAATTATACTAGTATATTAGACTCATATTCACATTGGTTTATACATTATTCTTATTCGTTGCGGAGTGCAAAGTTAATTGTCATATGAACTAGTTAATATCACTAAGCTAAGGATAAGATACCTAGTACTCCAGCTGGGAATGTAGCAAAAGCCATGTACCATACAAAGGGAACAACCTGCGCAAACAAACAAGACAAGAAAACATGCTCATAAAAATCTAATCTGAAGTGGCTTTAAATTTTAAGCTGATGCATGTTGATAGTTTAGAACGTAGTATATTTCACATTAGATAAAAAAATTTAATTATTAATGAATAAAATTAATTTTTGTATTAATTTTATTTATATTTTAAATAATTATACTTGAAGAGAAACAATTATCATAATGACAAATGGTTATAACTATTTGAATGTAAATAGAATTTTATTCATAAATATCATAATTATATAATAGATTATAACCATTTGAATAAAATTTATATCTATTCATTAATTATAAATAGATATTTTAATATAAATATTTTTATTATTTTTGCTTGAAAAATTTTAAGATTTTATTGTATCCTAAAAACATAATTGATTTTAAAAAAATATTTTTCTTGTCTCAAAACTAAAATTTTTCTCTATTATTTATTTTTTTTAACAGTGCATGCGTACCTTCTTGAGTGCTTTAACCATGCCATCAATGTCATTAATGTGGTCTCCAAATCCATTAAGAGCTTTGCCTAGCAGCAGATATCCAACAGGTTGAGCCATGCCATGGACTACGGAACCCAAGGTCCCCAGTGCCATAAGAGTCCAATCCATCGTATCTGCATAGCTCAAAAGCATATAAAATGGAAAAGCTTTGTTGGCAGCCTCTCCATTCTTCTGTTCTTCTACTACTTCTTTCTTCTCCTCTTCTACCTGGACGAGTTCATGGTGTTGGGGAGCCATTGGCACGACGGAGTCTTTGATGCTCTTGCATTCTGCCTCGTCGATGTAGATTTATAATACTAATAGTTTTTAGGAAAAAGTATGTTCAACAAAGAATATATCATGGATATGCCCTGGATGCTTTAAATATAAGAATGAGAAGTGAGTCTTTTCTGTTTGGAATAATCCCAAATTTCTGTATCTGCATGTCATGCATCTTGTGACGCAGAAAAAACATGCATAAGGATACATAGAGAATCCATCAGCAGTGCCCGCGTGGATATTAAAGTAAACAAACGTTTTCATCTTAAAAACCGTAATCAGGATTTTCTTTCTATTGGCTAATTAAGGACTCAGGAATTAGGATTAACTATAATAATAATAACTTGGGTTTTCATCTTTTGTCAGGCATGCCAAAGCATTGAAAATACTTATCAAAACAAAGATTATCCCATATTCTATAAGCAGATTCCATAAGTGAAAGATCCCTTTCGCGGAAACCTGATTATGGAGCGATTTCTTTTAGGTGATATATTCCAATAGTTGACAATTTATTAAGGCAAAATCTAAGCAGCACTGATAGGCTGTTTGATAAAAAGTTGAGTATTGTCATTCCTCAATGTGTTTTCCTCACCCCTTTTCTTCAAGAATCATAGGCAACGAAACTATCCTAGAAAAGTGACTTTCCGGGAATTGTTTGAACCATTAGAGGAGGCATGGACTGATGCAGGCGGCAATTCACCATTTTCTATTACACAGGCATGAGACACAGTCCAAACTCCAAAATGAATTATACAAAAAAAAAAAAATACATGGTCCAAACTCCTGCACCCTGCATTTGACCTTTGCAACCTTGAGGTTCCTTATCGAGGATCAGTTTTACAGTAGCAAAACAGCACATCTTTAATAATAATAATCCGAAGAAGAAGAAGACGAAGAAGAAGATTGGAGATCTGGATTTGTGATTATTATGTCATTCAACAATTCAGTTTATCATCTTGGCTGACTTAATCTAATGACAGGCCTTCATGTTTGTCCTGACTAAGGGATGTGTTCTACTATTCGTTTGTGGTTCCTTGAATAAAAATAGAATTCATGTTGTATCAATTCAAATGTATTCTTTCCTGGTTAGTCTTAACCATGCTGCCAATCATTTCATTATGGACAATATTCCCTAATCCTATCTTTTCATTTTAAGGATTTATTTATGCCTTTTCAAAGATAATAAAGAACATGCATCAAAAAACCATTTTATGGAAAATTTTGAAAATTTCATTTGCATGGTAATATGAAAAGTAAGTCAAATCTTGCTGTATAGTTCATAATATATGTATTTATGAAAAGAATCTCAGCAAGACTGCAGTCATCAATTGCAAACCAGAAAACTTCTTCCTCCATGTTATTACTAATTCATGTACTGATCCCAAAGAAATTACATACCACTTACAAGTTCTAGATGAGGACAGTGACATAAGGTGACTACTCCCTAAAACCCTAAATAGAAGAGACTATTAAGATCACCAACGTTCCACTGTAACTGGCGTTTGGTAAAAGTGATTGTTTAAGCAATTGGCTTCAACACAAACATTTTGCATGAATGAGAATTCACAGTCGCTGTCAGATTGCCAACAAATCGGGTCTCTAGTGTTTTGTGCTGCAAGCAAGAGATACGTACATGTAGGTTAGTAGGTGTGTCATAAGAGTTGAGATGTGCTGGCACATGGGTATTAAAAAAACTGCTCATGCATGCACAGTAGCGCATTGGAAAATGACAGTAGGATATGCTAAATCTTGTTGCTAAAAATGAGTACCTCCCAAAGGTTTCTTGCTTCAACAGCACTGTTGGGGGCTAGTCCAAGATCTTCCCAAAGAGCTGTTATAGAGTAACGAACAGGACCCCTGTTGAGTAGGACCACAGCTATTCTATTGCCAGAAAGAGGCCCTGCCCAAATCTGTTTGAAGGCAGGTAAAAGTGTACAGTAACAAACCCGAGCAAAGTACGCCATTAGCACATAGTTAAACAAAAGGGACAGCATAGAATTTACCTCTTCATCACCTTGCATCCTAACCTTCTTAGCTTGAATACCATATGGATCTATTGTAGGACACAACATGAAGAAAAAAATTGAAAACTATTGATGCCTAGTAATTACTTGAGGGTTTTTGTAGTAAGGTAATTGTAAATTGTAATTACCTTGGTTAACAGCAATGACCTCTTTATTTGCAACGATCTCCATTGTCTCTTCTGTCATATTCCTTATGTCGCAACCAAGAAGAAGAGGAGCCTGCAATACCATTCACATTTTAACCACCAGATGCAACTTGCATATTACCAGGCATCAAACATCTTTTGTCATCCAGATATCATCTGTAATACCTTGGAAATAGCCCACAAGCTGAAATGTACTATATATTCATCTTTGGTCATCCCTCCATTCCCTACCTCAAGCATGTCAGGATCTATTGAAATAAAAGACATAATAAATCTCTCAGGAATTGAAATTATAATTATTTCTATATTGGTTAAAAGATTGCCGCTACTAGAGAATTCTAACCATTCCAACCACCAGGCCGTGCATATTCAGCATAAATCTCATTGTGGTCAGCTTTGGAAATCATACTGCAAGGGAGCAAAAATTGTTAGTAAAGGCTCTAGGCCGAGGATAGGATACCCAAAAAACGAAACAGACTTTCTTAGCACAATCTTTACCTTTCCCATGTATCAGTTATGTCACTAGTTGTCCTCCAGCTATTTCCTACAAGGGCGCCCCATTCAGCAGGGTGCATATCTCCCCTAAGAAACAAAAATGAAACATAAGTACCGAAAAGAATCAGCAATTATTTAATTAGAGGATCAAATTGATGTGCTTTAGAAGTTACCATTCACAAACAGAGAAGAAGATGGGGCGGCCAGCCTTCCTCAAAGCACGAGTCATGACAGGGTATCTACATGAAGATTAATAGTGATATATGAGAAGATGGCTATTAGTCTGGATACATTGATGCAAATCTGAAAAATAGGCAATTGTGTGTAATTGGAAGGTTACCATATTACAATACCTTTCAATTGGTTTTGAGCCATCAGTATGGCAGTTATCATACTTCAAATAATCAATACCCTGCAAACAAAACAATTACCGCATTATTTTGGATAATGATTATAAAAACTTTGTTTCAATGCAAGCCAATGGAATATAAATGAAAAAAAGAAGATTAATGCTTGGGAAAAGTATTACTGAAATTCATACCCATGAAGCAAAGGTTTTAGCATCCCGTTCTTCAAAACCAAGTGAACCAGGCATTCTCTTACTGCAAGTATAATACCTGGAAAACAAACAAAAGTACATCCATTAGCTTTGCATAGCAATTTCAGGATTCATATATATTGAACAACGATGGGCAGCATTCATGTTTCTGTCTCACAACAGCTAAAGTTGCAGTACCCTGCATCTCCGTAGATCCCTAGCTTAAGACCCTTGCTGTGAACATAGTCTGCTAGAGCTTTTATTCCAGATGGAAAGGTTGCCTTCTTAGGCACTAGATTACCCTGAAATTGATTTGAGTCCAGCAGTTATTGCCACATCACCGTTTTCTATCCTCAGTAGGAGAAACATTTCTAACTTTCTACAACCCCTAACTTGTTATATGGGAAAAGAGACATGTTCTGTGAAAAACTTTGAAAAGGAAAAAAAAAGACCTTGTCATCACGAGAAATTTCAGCCCAGCAATCATCTAAGAAAGCAAGATGTTGAAATCATTGGTCAGCCAATTTAAATGAATGATGCCAATGAAGATTACTACTTAAGATTTAGAGGCATTAAAAAATTTATAACAGCATACCTATATTAACATACACATATCCAAGCTTGGATAGCCCAGTTGAAACTAGAGCATCAGCTGTCAAACAAATAAAACATATGTTTAAGGCAGTTTATGCTACATTAAAAATGGAAAACAAAATATATAAAAAAAAGTAGCCTTTTTTTTAAGTTATTAAATATTCATCACCAAATTATCCACCGACCAATGAAATCTGGACTGAATTGCTTTTCAAATTGCAAACCGGTATATAATTTTTAAAAGGAAACATGTGGGATAAATTCGAATAAAAGGAATATGCAGTTACTATATTTACCAGTTTCTTTGATCATTTTTTCATCAATAGTGCAGCTGAAGTGGTTCCAGCTATTCCACCTGCAGGGAAAAGGAAAAGAAAAAAAAAAAAAAAGAAAAGGAGTAAGCAGACCTAATTAACCCAAAATTATAAAAGAAAAGTAATATTCCATAATGGCAAAGATTAAGAGAATCAAACATAGCATACCCCATCGGAGGAGTCATTCCAAGACCATTTGTCATCATGCTTCTCCTGCTGGTTGCTAGTGTTAAAGACACCAACCCCATCACCATTACCATTGCTAACGCCACCGAACAGCACCTCTTCCCCATCTCCGCCGCTGCTTTTAAACAGTTCTCCAACAAAAATAAAAAAATAGAGTGGCGTCTGGTATTTGCATGTATGTATTTATACTAATGAGGGGTAAGTAGTTGAACGATAAGAGCAATATGAGATTGAGTTGCAGTGAAAGTCGTTTTTTATGGGATTTTGTGAAAGACTCGTGCACTTTCTCTGTAACGCCAAAATTGCCTTCAAATTTACTACATTTAAAAATATATATATTGGATTAGGATTTTCATTTCTTATTAAAAAAATTATTTTGGGTTAGGATTATCGTACTATTGGTATGTTTCATAACTATCTATCTATGTGATGAGTAATGAGCTCTTAATTCAGTATTAAAATCCACTGCGACTAAAAATCTTGAATTCAAACTGTCATTAAAAAAAATTATATATTTAAAACTATATAAAATGATTACTACACATTAATATATGTGGCTTTTATTTAAATGGTGTCAGGTAATCATATTTATTTTTAAAACAATTATAATCCTTTATATGTTATTAGATTATGGAAAATTGCAAAATGATTTGAGACATTAAGTTAAGTGGTAGATCCTCCAAATATTAATATTCCTTTTATTTCCTATAAATTAAAATATTAAGATTTTTTAATTTGTTACTGATTTTGTGTTTAAAAGATCATCATATCCTACCTCAAAAAAAAAAAAAAAAAAAAGATCATCCATATCCATAATTTCAAATTTTGAGTAAATGATTTTTCCGTACTTTACTGAGAGGATTATTCTTCCTTGATCCATATAGAGGAATATATTCAAAATTCGAGGTTGTAGCCTTATCCTTAAGTTTATTTTCCTAATTTACTCCTTTTGACTTGAATAATGCCTTCACTTTGCTTTCTTTTTTTTTTTTTTTTTTTTTAATTTTCAACAATAAAAGGATGATAGAAATTAATTTGTGTATACATTTTCTTTAGATTAAATTAAAGGATGTTGCGATACAATTCCATGCAAAATGAGACAAATGACTCATTCTTTTTTTTTATATATTTTTGGTGGATAAATTAGTTTAAAACAATGTGTTCTTCAAAATTATTTAGATTTAAAACATGCATTTAATACAGAATTATTAGTTTCAAAAAAATACATTTAAAAAAAAAATACTCCTGCAAAAAAATTCGTAATTAAGATTTGAAAAGATAAAGTAAAGGCAAAACAACAAAAATCATTAGCCTTTTGTTACAAATCCATATCTTTCCAGCTCAATATTTGGCAACTCATTTACCATTATCAAACCTACATAGTATATTTTTTAAAATTATGGATGTGGATTCGTAATTGCAAATATTTTATATAAAAAAAAAAAAACTTACGCTTTAGATTTGATTTATACAATCATATTTAAAATTTTAATAAATTTTAATTTATAATTTTTTTTCAATCTCAAACTATGACTTTTTAAAAAAAATAAATAAAAAAACTCCATTTTTCTAATTATACTACTTTCTTTTTTTTTCTTTTTTCCTATCCAAAATTTTAAAAAATAATTATTTGATGATTGATTTTTGTAACTTTAATGATGTACGTGGTCCAACTGCATGGATGTTTAGTTTTTTAAGTTTTTGAAGCGTCTACGTGACAGAGTCCTTTTAGATACGTTTTTGTTTTTTTCTCAGGAAAGTGATATGTTAAAGAGATTAAATGGTGGAGTAGGAATATTCCAGCATCAAAACGCCTTTATTGTTTTCTTTTCCAATCAACTACGGATGAGTGTGATTTTGAAGAAACAGATACATACGGTAAGTTCTGAAAACCTGTAATCTTTTCCAAAATAAAATTTAAAAAAAAATTTTTTGAAAAAATTAAGAAAAATAAAAAAATTAATATAAGTCCCAAAAAAATAAAAAAAATGTATATTTTTTAAAATAATGAATAAATAAAAAAAAATCAAAACATAAATTTAAAAAATGTGGACCCAACACCCCTTAAAAACATTTTAAAGAAATGTAGGCCCCACGAATTTAAAACAAAAAAAAAGAAAAGGAGCCGGTTGAAACAAATCAGCTACCAACCTTTAAAAAATAAAAGAGGACGTGGGCCCCCACTCTTTAAAAGAATTTTAAAAAGAACCGATTAAAAAAAAATCCCACACCTTAAAAACAAAAGAATGTGGATGTGGGTCCATAACTTTTTTAAAAAATTAAAAAAAGTGGGGCCAACCATAAAAATGGAAAAAAAAAAAAAAAAAGCCACACTCGTAATGTAGAGGGAAAGCCTAACTGTAGCATTTATATTAATGGGACCGTAATTTAAACAAGATTATAAAAATGAAAATATGTCTGTTTTTTTTTATTATTTAATTCATTATTGGATTATATGTATTTATTTTTTTAAGAAAAGTATTTAACTTATTTTGATTTGATATAAATTTTAAGTATATAAATATTATTATAAATAAAAATAGTGCAAAGTAAAGACATGCTGTTTTTTTATTTTTTAAAAAATTTATTTGTTATGACAAATTAATTAGATGTAAAATTTTATACATATTATAAATTTTAAAAAAAAATATTAAGTTACATGTATATACAAATAAAATTATTTTATACATCACGAATTACAACCTAATTTTATTTACACATCATCTTTTTTCATAAATGCTACTTTTATTGATTTTTTGTCATATATTCTTTTATTTAACTTTGTTTTATTTTAAATATATTACTAATTAAAATATAAAAAAATTTCAAAAACTTTGAATGATAAGATTTTCAAAAATATTTTTATAAAAAAGTCTAAAAAAATATTTAAAATATTGATAATCGAAATTGAAAATTTTGACTGTAAAAAAAAATATGAAACATTATCTATAAGACGAAAATAACACTAAAACTTGACAATAGAATTGAAATTATTAATTTTGGAATGTAATCATTAAAGTATGCTCTTAAATAAGTTGGTCACATTCAAATATAATGCTTAATTCAAATATATTTTTGAGATAAAAATCATTTTATTATTTTATGTTTTTAATATTTTAATATTTTATAAATATTTCAATTACTCACCACCATACTAAAAAGGACTTTTAATTACGCTTAAACATTTTTTTACAGCAACCTAAACTAACTCCTAAGACCAGTGCAAAGAATGATACCAAGAGCTGCTCTTCAAACGGCCCGAGCTTGAAGGACTGCCAACTTCATTTTTAATTCCAAAATGTAACAACAAACACATCGAGAAAGATTTTATGTTCCATTTTGGCCTAAGAAATTGAAAGAGATCAAGTCAACCTTTTAAGATTGATTGTCCTGCAAAAACTGCATTGTTCAAGTCAAACCATATTGGTTTGTTCCATTTGCTTTTAGTCCAAAGAATAAGAGCAAAAAAGATGAAACCCACTTATTTAGACGAAATGGTAGAAACATTTAAGTGCTCAAGTTAGTTGAAAATCTAATCATATAAATAAATAAACTATAATCATGAATGACAGGATCCATGAATCCCTGCTTGTTATTTTCATACCAGGACACATGATGAAATCCACCATAAATATTATTAACTAGTAAGAAATCACAAGCGAAGCGAGACGAAAACAAAATAGAATCCTGAACTAATAGCTCAGGAAAACAGGGTCTCCAGCAGAATCCTCTGATAAAGTTGAATTAGCATAATAAGCAAGATCATGAAAGCAAAATAAAAAAAAAAACCACCTTTGACATCGATCAGTGGATGGCTGCACACTCTTCATCATCACTTCACTATGCAGATCTTAATAACAGAGGCAGCACCGATACGGTGAAGTGCAACAATGGCATCACCAGGCTTGCACAACCCCTTCTCCGTAGCTGACTTCAGAGCAGCTTCCAAGATAACCTCAGTAGATTCTGCATCAGTTGCCTTAGCTGAGCCTTCTGCCAGTAGAGGAACCAAGCCTCTATATATCAGACTATGTCTTGCTGGCCTTTCGTCGCTGCAGGTCCAATCAAATGAATCAGTTGTTAAGACGGGGACAACTACGGATAGGATAGGAACAGCTGGTCTGTACTTGGCAACCAACTTGGCTGTTGTTCCTCCACGCGTTAAAACAACAATGAGTTTAGCTTTAGCTTTGTTAGCTGTTCGTACGGCTGAGGATGCAAGACTTTCCAATGGGCTCATTGGAAGTGGAGTTGATCGAATCATTTCTTTAAAGATTGCACCATAGTCGAGGGAGGATTCCGCCTCAATACAAATTCGAGCCATAATCTTCACAGCAAGCTCTGGATAGGCCCCAGCAGCACTCTCACCACTGAGCATGACACAATCAGTACCATCGAGAACAGCATTAGCAACATCAGTAGCTTCAGCACGGGTTGGCCTAGGAGACTTAATCATAGATTCAAGCATTTGAGTGGCAGTAACAACAGGCTTGCCCGCAAGATTACACTTGTATATCATCATCTTTTGTGCTAGGAAGATCTTCTCCACCGGAATCTCCATTCCAAGATCACCACGTGCAACCATAAATGCATCGGTCTCACGCAAGATCTCATCAAAGTTGATAACACCCTCTTGGTTCTCAACCTAAAAGAATCGAAATAGACATATTACTCTTCAGTCTAAAAACAGAAATATGGAAGAGTCATTATAGCCAATGAAACAATAGAGCATTCAGAAAGAAAGAAAGAAGGAACAAAAAATGTAAAGGCTGGAAATCAGTCCCATAAAAAATTTAAGCAAAGCACACATTGCACACAAGGGAAAATCCAGGCAAGCACACCATGTGCAGACAGACACAAATAAACTACTCAATATATTCTTAAGTTACTTCTCATATGCACAAATATATCAACCTAGGTCTTCTTCTCTTAAGATAACTCATATCTGCTGGGCATGCAGAACAACAGCAAAGCAGGCAGTAATTGCATTCAAGTTGTAATTAGGTCTAATCTCATAGCCTGTGCGATCAAGAAGTAATTATTTTCGGCAAGAATGGAGGCCCTACTCAGATTGAATAAGAGTAACAGCAACAGCACATTGCATAAAGAAACCACAGAACCTTTTTATTAATCCCAATTCAAAAGTGAAACAGATCAACATACCTTCGACATCAATTGAATATGCTTTGCATGGGGACCAAGGACCTTACGGACATTGACAAGATCAGACCCTTTGCGTACAAATGAAAGAGCAATCATATCAATATTGTTGGGAACTCCCCATCCTAAGATGTCTTCCTTATCCTTCTCCGTGAGTGTGGGAAGGTCCACCACAATACCAGGAAGGTTAACATTTTTTCTCTCACCAATCATTGCAGTATTCTCACAGCGGCATCTCACAGTTCCAGCAGCAGGATCACAGGCTAACACTGTTAGCGTGATTGTACCATCTGCGCACAAAATGGTATTTCCAGCCTTCAGATCAACAGCCAATTTTTTGTAGCTCATGGAGATCATCTTCTCATCTCCCTTGATGTCGTAATCAGTAGTTACAGTAATTTCTTGGCCTTCCTTAAGTTGAACAGGTTTCCCTTCCTTCAGGAAGCCAGTTCGAATTTCAGGTCCCTGAAACAACAAAGCAATTCAAATACAAAATACTATCTGAAGAAGGAAAATAAACAAGTTAAAAGAGATTACAACAAAGAGAAAACGTTCTTACAACTCATTATCTTTCATTTTAAGTTTATTAGATATTAAAAACAAAAATCTATATTGGCATGTTGGGTTACCAATGTAGAGAATTTCTGCGCTCAGTAAAGTCAAATGTTTTCTAAAAAAATACAAAGCTTCAACATTTATAAACAACTTCATACAGAAAATTCTAAGGTCATAAAAAAGAGAGATAATAGTAGGAAAATGGACCTTGGTGTCAAGCATGACGGCGCAGAGAATGCCTGTATTTTGCATAGCAGACCTGAGATTGTTCAAGGTCTCTTGATGATACTCATGGCTTCCATGAGAGAAATTGAAGCGAGCAACATTCATCCCAGCCCTCAGTAGCTTCTCTATCATGGGAACGGAGCGCGAAGCGGGCCCTAGAGTACAAACGATTTTGGTTTTAGGGACACGGCCATCATTTGGAAGCTCCTTCAAGATTCCATCAATGTCTATATTTGCCATCTCCTTTGCTTTACTCTGCACTTACAAAGTATCTGCACCCATCATCAAAAAAATCAAAATCATCAAATAAGATACGTTTCGAAGTAAATAGTTTAACAAAACAAGAGAAAGGGGAAACTCTGCATAGTGATTATAATTTTAAAAAAAAGCAATAAAATTTAAATTAAAATGAAGGGGAAAAGGGAATCATTTTCCATTGACAAGATCCACCAAAGACGCATGGAGATTTACAAAAAAGAACCCCAAGATAAGAAACAAAAAAACAAAAACAAAAATGAATGGCTTAAATTGAATGAAGAAGAAAAGCAAAAAAGGGAAGAAAAGAAATACGATTGTAAGAATAAGCGGTTAAGTTAGGTCACTTTGAGAGATATCAGATCAGTAAACAGAGATTGCTTTAGATATAAATACAAACAAGTAAACCAAACAGAAATAACAATAACATTGCATGCTCGACGAAGAAAGATCCAAAAAAAAAAAAAAGCCAAAGGAGAGGGAGAGGGAGAGGGAGAGGGGGAGGGTTGCCATACCAGACAATTCGAAGCTGGTGGGTTTAGCTTTACGAAACCAAACCAAAGAAAGAGCGAGTAGTGATAAAATCTGAGTTTTGGAGAGCAGAAACGAACAGAACACGGGGGTAGACAAGGTGCTGGTGGCTTTTTGTAACTGGGCAGGACAGGCACTAGGGGAGTTTATTATAAAACAAAAAAAAAAAGAAAAGAAATTAAGGAAAGTTAGAATTTCGGACACGTGGTGGTAGATGTATTGTCTTTCTTTTCTTTACCTTTTTCCAGATTCTTAGAACGGTGCGAATATTTCTCTTTCTCTCTTTCTCTCTCTATGGACTATAATAATAACTATGCGAAAAAAGGAAGCACGTGAGAAAGGGTAGGCGGCGGCTCGTCGCTGGTTTTCCGTTTGATGTCTGTGGGCATGTCGTGGGCATGTCCCCACCGTTTTCGACCACTGCAGCTCTCTGTGCATGGCTATTTTTTTTATAATTATAATTAAATATATATTTATATAATTAATTAAATAATTAATTATTATATAATAATCAAATTATAATGATTAAATAATTAATTAATAAGTTAAAATATTAACTAAACAAAAATCCGGACATAAAAAACTTAATCATAAAATCTCAAAATTTTAAAACCTCACCTCTTTACGATTAAATTAAAACCTCTAACTTCGGTTTGGTCCAAGTTCAGAACTTTCTTACCCTTTTAGTCTTAGCCAAATAAATAAAAATAGAACAATTGAAGTTTTGGGGTAAGCTAAAACAAGCGTCGAACCCTTGGGAAACACGGAAAATGCAACAGACCATGGGCTTTTCAGAGACGTGCAAGGACCATTGCCTCCCCACGCCTTCTAGTAGCTCTCCAGTCTCCACCATTGTCTTTTTTATATTTTTTTCTTTTGTGGGGCCGGAACTGTTCACCACTATTCGTGCCTCGTACTGTTGTTTACACAGAAAATTAACATCTTCCAATAAGAAAATCAAAACCTTTTATTTTTACTCGATCAATGCGTTAAAACGGGATTTTCATACAACTATCAATCCAGACCGAATTAATGCTAATCACATCACCGGCTTCATAGCTAAGATTTTGCGAATACTATTACAAATGATGTTTTTATAAATATCTATGGCAAGATATACTTAAAATCTTGATTATAAAATTGACTGTGTGATTAACATTAATCTGATCAGGATTGACGGTTGTCTGAAAATCCCGCATCGATTGATTATAAAAATTTAAGGTGAGAAATTATTTGTTTTTTAAAAATTCATAAACGAGTTAAGAAATAACTTTAAGGTGAGAAATTATTTGTTTTTTTTTTTTTTTAACTTAGTAAACATATTAAGAAGATAACTCATTTTATGATGTTTCTATATCTATACCTTTCGAATGGAAAGATCCAAAAGTAACAATAAAACAAATTTCACTAAATATGTTGTGCTATGAAATTTTCATCCATGTGATTTCCAGTTTCTAGAATTTTATTACCGTGTCCGTCACCCTTTTTCAGTTCCAGAAACATGACCCAATTTGCCGCTGCCTATAAACAAAACCAAGTAATAGCTAGATTTTCATGCTTCTTCCAACTAAATTCTGAAAAAGTAATTTATATATAAGTCTATTTTAACATCAAGAACAAAATTTCATACAAAACCTTTCTTCTAGATACTAGAATCCTACACGGTTACTTTTGTCCTCCATTACTCGATAAAATGCAATTCAGATTTTCAATCGTTACACAAAATGTTACCCAGACTCTCTCACACTCGTTTTGGTGGCACATACTGCACATGCACTTCTTCGCATAAATTCTGTATGAAGGAAAACAACAATTACCAATCCCACGGAAGAAAAACAACTTGAAACTTTAATTATTAAAAAAAAAAATGTTGCAAGTAAATATACTCTTGTTAGACAAATTGCTTTCTAGTAAAAATTTGATAAAATATCGGTAATAGCCACTGAGCTTCTTGTTGGTTTTATCATGGATGCCAGAAAACTATTCAGAAAATGGATAGCTGAGTAGGCAGAAATTCAGCCAACATCTTCAATTTCATTTGCCTGTTGCCACTTGCCAGCACCGAAATCATCGAATTTACAGCACATGGCATGGCATAACAGATAAAATAGAACAGCTCATGAAAAGTCTATCTTCCTATACATGTTTATCTTACAAAAACTCATTAAATGTATATAATAGAGAACAGATTATATTCCCATCACAAGACAATTTCTATTGCAAATGGATAATATTCCCTTGATACTTATATATACAGTAACAACAGGAATTGGACAATCAAAGATTTTGAACTGCTCAAAGGATGCAACTGTGGTCCCAAAGATGACAAAGAATGATGGAGAAAAGAAACTGAATATTATTATATACGATTTTGTGTCTATCATACTCACCAGTATTGATATTTACTTTTATAAAAGGTAAGTATGAATAAGCTACGCAGCATAATATTTCCTAAGAAATTAAAGAAATTAATAAATTGCACTCATGATGAGAAACCATACCTGCAAGTCCTCTGGAAGTGCCTCTGAAACTGCAAGTGTGTAACAGCCTGGGACGAATCTTCCTAAAGGATTTAAAGAAATGTTACAGACGCAAAATTTATAAGAACCAGATATAATATACATTATTACACATAGTTTCAAAAGGCATAAAAAACAAGAAGAGATATAAGAATAAGCAATAGAAGAGCAGTTGAATAATATACTATTCTGTGGTGAAAAACAATCATTGGAATGTCAAAATTCCAGAGCCTTATAAAGTCCCAAAGCATTCCTAGTGAGTTCATTAATTCAAAAGTTATCATAAAGAATAGACTTCAAATCTTACGCAATCGTAACAACAGTAACTAAGCTCAAACTATAAAGCATCACAACAAATCTCTATATCATAGTAGCCTATCCTTCATTCTGCATTCAAAGAAGGCCCTTAATCTTCGAAACACTTACTAGAATAATTCTCCACGTCAACAACAAATACAAGACGCAGAAAACCTTTGAAAAGATGTACGCGGAAAACCAGTTTTGGACATACCAATTCGCAGCCAACGAGCAGCCCAACTTCTAGTCGGGTCCATCACAGAGATTATCCTAAAAAACCAAGCAGCAATCTTATTTAAAATAATGTTAAAACAGATAAGAAAGCTTAAATTGATTACTGTAAAGGGTTTTTTTAATAAAATAAATAAAAAAGGAAAGATACCCATTGAAATTAGGAGTGGTGCAATCGACGACGCGCTCATGATCATCATCCATCTTAAAGAATGGGCAGTTTTCACATCCTGATTCTCTAAACTGTAATTTAAAGAGCTAAAAAACAGTAATTAAAAAGAAAGAAGAAACCCTAAACCAGAACAGAAAAATACCTGATCGTAGGTTTTGACGAGGCGGCAACGAAGGCAAGCCCTCAGCTCGTGTCCAAAGCTCGTCGGAATTTGTGCGGGTGCGCTTCCCATTGCTCTTCCGCTTTCCTTCCTAAGGATATCCCGGTTTTAGTCTTTAGCCAATAAAAGAAGAAGAAAAAAGAATGACAGGAGGGTATTGTTTTTTAAGCATTTATATTTGATAGATTTCCGACTTTTTTTTTCCTTTTCATTCGAGCCTTTGAGGACTCAACGAGGTACAATGCAAACAAAGCGAGGACCAAAATGTTAATAGAATATGGGCCAGTGCCGATCTCAAGACGATAATTGTTTAACCCAACGACCTACAACTTGGCCCAATCTATAGACCAGTTTTGTCAAACCCAATATCGTGGAGTCAGGTTTATCATTCGTTCTGGCAATTAGCGGAAGTTCAACCATTGAAGATCTTTTATCTATCCTTTTTTCTTTTTTGCCAATATATCCGTTGTTTTTTGTGAACGAATATTCTGCTTATATTTTGGACCTTTTACCGGTAGAAGTCTCACCAGTTCAAGGAAATCAATAGCAGCTTTGGAACTTCAAAAACACTTTAGCCTTCTGAAAAATGGAATGTACCTCAAGCTTTAACAAGACATCGACGATTTGCATAGTGATTAACTGTCTAAAAAACAAAGTTGAAATCTTAAATCTAAACAATGCAATAACCTACATCAGGATCAAAGCCAGTGAAAGAAAAGTAATGGCTATCAAGCTGAATGTATTATGGGAGAATAGCAGTTGGCTTTTTGCCTGCTCGTGGATGTTAAAGAACAAAACCAAATGATTGCAGGATTCACACAGATGTTAAGGAAGGTGTTACAACTCGAGGAATTATTTGACAGCATTCAAATTGTTTCAGGTCCTTCCATTGCAGTGGTGGTTGCTACCATTGCTGTGGTCTCTGCGTTTCAGGTTAAAGTGATCTAACCCCCAAATTCGAATTGTTCGGTCATCACTAGCTGAAGCCAGCATGTGAAGGTTTGCTGGATTCCAGCTCACACAGTTCACAGCTCCAGAATGTCCAGGCAGTGCCAGTAGGACCTCCCCCGAGCATCTGTGCCATATGTACACCTGCAACAAGAAACAATAAACCTTCATTGTTTATGCAAAGACATTTTCTTGATAACAACATAACAAGAGTATGTGCAACTTAATCTATGACAAAAGCAACAACTAGAATAATAGTAGTTGGGTAATAGTGAATGGAACAAACTCAGAACAGTTAATGAGAGTTGATCATCCTAGAGTGCATATTTGAAAGGCTGATGAGCAAGCTGTTCACAGAAAAACATATACCTAACTGATACCAGCAGAATTATCTTGGACTTACCCTTCAAATGCATGTGCACCAAAGCCAACTGACTTTTGAAGCATCAAACACAACAAAATCGCAGATAGCAACAATTTTAAAATAGTAACATCTATTATATTCACCTAAAGTTACTTCTTATCAGATGAGATGAAAAGAGCGTACCTGCGAATCCTCACTGCCACTGGCAATAAAAGCTTGCCTGAGTCCACCAAAACAAGATCTAATTACAAATCGGGTACGTTTGTGACCTTTGTACTTTGACACAAGTTTAGGATCACCTTCTATGCTCCAGAGATGGATTTCTTGGTTTATAAGATTAACCAGTAAGAACTTGTTGTCTTTTGATAATGAGAATGATGTAATCATGTCCACCTCTTCGATCAGTCTCTCAAATTTTGCTTCCCTGTCAAGCAATACTATAGTAGATTCTCTGCATATGCTTATGATCCTCTTACCATCATCAGTTATGGCCATATCTGAGATTCTGAGAGTCCTTTGTCCTTTCCAGCATTCCAGCTCTCTTCCATCCAAATCCCAAAGGCAGATGCTCCTGTCAGTCATCCCAGCAAATATCCCTCTACCATCAGGAAACCATCCACAAGAAATCAAACCAACACCAGATTTTTCATAAATATGGAGGCATTCTCCAGAACTGACATCCCAACGCCTGATAACCTCATCCTGTCCACAAGTAAGGATTTGGCTATCATCTGGGCTCCATGAAACAATTAACACTGGTTTATGATGACCGCATAGGGTATGCTTCAGTGACACCTGACCATTTTCTTTAACCTAAAAAGTTAAAAATAACAAATTTATTAAAAGAGGATGGTTTGAAGTTGCATGCCTGATTATCAGCATTGTAGGATATATTATTGATGCATATCAACTTCAATATAATCGTTTTAAAACAAGCAATTTCCTCAAAAAATTCTTAAGAGAGCCTACCTCAATTCATACCCACTAAAATTCTTGGTTATGGTATCAAGGCCAGTGGTTCAAACTCAGCAACAGCTAGGCCCACTAACAACATTTGATGAAAATTACACATAAAAATATGTATGCCAGCATGCAAAAGAAATATGAATATTTTTAGTTAATTATTTCCGGGCCAATAACATAGGAATCATTGAGGTCGTACATCACAAGACATCTACCCATGCCCAACATTGTTCAGTCATAAATTATTTATTGTCACTGAATCATAAAAAGTTAACCAATAAAGCAAACTCTAAAACATATCATTTGACCTTATCCATGTTTCTTCTTTACCCCATAACTTTAACGAATTATGACAAAACTAATTATAAAGAAAATGCTTACCTCCCATATAATTGCCGACTGATCCTTAGATGATGAGGCCAAATATTTGCCATTATGTGAGAATTGCAAAAACCAAACTTCGTCATTGTGTGCTTCTAGTATCTGTTTTCATTCATATAAACAGTAAATTTTCGCACTAGCATTCTTTTGTTAGCTGATGAAAATCAAATGCACAGTATGCTTATGAGAGACATGATTTAGAAAAGCAGCAAAAATTCAAACGAACAGGTAAGTCTCTTGGTCATAAACCAAGATGAAATTAACAGCAACAGTAAGAACACCAAAAGAATAAAAGATGGCTGCTTAACATAGCTGGACTCCTAAGCAAAGGAGACAGCTTCTCTACAGTACAATACCATGAAACAACAACAATGACTGTTTCCACAAGCTAGCACCTTGCTTAAAAAAGTAACCTGCAGAATATATTACACCCTAGACCCAAAAGATGAAGTCCAATTTATCATCTGTTAAGAGAAAGGGCGGCCATAAGGAGTGCAAAGGCACAAATTAAACTACCATCAAATTGAAACACTCTAACCTGCAATGTCTGGGAAGGAATCTGATTTTTCCCACACTGGTGATCTGAGTACAAAGAGAGATCACTATCTGAGGTATTATGGAATGCACAAGCCCCTCGTTGAACATCAAGAGCCCTTTCAACTAGATGCTCTAATCTCTTTTCAGGAATCACAATTGCGGCAGGAAGCAACTTTTGTAGTTTTTCTAGAATCTTTGACCTTGACTTTGTCCCCTCAGTATCTTGACCAGAAATCCCAAGTCTTATGCATTGTAAAGGAGAGATGATACAGGCAGCAAGCTCATGAACACGATTCAGACTGACATGAAGAGGCACAATCTCATCCCTTAGTGTATCCAATGCAGCAACAACTTTTTCCATTTTCAGAAGTTCAAGGAATTTCTGTTCCAAAATCAAGAAAGATGCTGATTTCACGATTTCATCTGAGAGACCAATCATACGCAATGTGGCCACACTATTATCCCATTTCCCATCTGTCACTTGCTGCATAAACAGATTAACCACTGAAGAATGCAATGGTATTCCTGATTCCTCCTCTAGAAGGGCACCACTTTTGTCATAACCAAGTGAGTATAAAGCCCTAGTTATAATTTTGATAAATTCTGCCTTTTTTATAACACCTTGTGAACCAATTGTTTCCCCATCCTCTCGGGAGGTTAGAGGCCTAGCCATCTGGTCTCCCAAAGAGCAAGAAACAGGTTCTGCAGTTGAATGATCCTCTGGCAAGCTCTTTGATTCTTCCAAGGGCCCTTTCACACGTTTCAAGGGTGGTTCACTATCTTCTGTTACTCCCATGAAATGCCTAATTCAGCCCATAAGTTTCCTACAAGTCAAAAAGCAGGCAAACTATGATAGCATTTGCATTTGAGTAGTGGCTAAGTAACAAAATAGCCAGTGTGACAGCTCCACAGTTTACTATGAATAAGAAGCATAACATCAAGCATTGAATTGATTGACAATAACAGTATCATTGCACTAATCTAACATAAAAAGAAAAGTTCCAAGCAACAATTTTCTTAAGATCGAAAAAAAGGACAGAAAATTATTTGTAAGTAACACTAACAACCTCCTATGGCCCTTCAGTTGTCAGGATTAAGGACTCATTTGACTGAGGCAAGAAATACCTTAAAGTTAGAGATTATTATGATGATTTTTGTACTCTAATAATATAATTAATCAAATTAAATAAAAATAATACAGTTTAATTGATGAAACTTGTTCATGTCACGGTAATTTTTAGCACAACATAATGAAGTTGTTTCTTTATATAAACCATAATTCTAAAAATGAAGAGAAAAAACTGAACCTCATAACATCAAAACTCACCAACTTTCTGAAGAAGGACAATTACAAACTAAAAGAAGAAGAAAAAAAGGGGAAAATTCTAGTGAATTTTATATTCATGATAAGTAAAATAAAAGATGAACTAAAATAATTTTTATTAAAAGAGAAAAAAGAAAAAAGGAAAAACCTTTCGTTCATAGATAGACAGGCAAATTCAACGATGAACAAAAACAAATCAGTATTACACAAGAAACAATTCGGCAAGTATGAGGATTAATTATACGAGATTATAAGAATTATAAAATCCAGGAAAAAAAGAAGAAAATAATTCTTTTTTTTTTTGGGAAAAGAAAAATAATTACGTACCGGAAGGCATTCCCAGTGAGAGGAAACGGAGGAAAGGGAGAAGCCAAAGAATCAGATGGTAATTAAAGAGAAATATGAAAAGAAAAGATTCAAGATTGACGGAAAATTAGAATAGCGGAAAGCACCTCCACCGAAAGCTATGTATAGAGGGCATAGAGAACAGAGACAAATTTACAATTACTAAAATATTTTTTTCCTTTTTCTTTTTCCCTTTTTCCTTTTTCCTTTTTGATTTTCTGATTTTGTTTTGTCAGTTGCCAAATGGCATAGGAAATAAAATTAAAAAATGGGATTAGAAGAAAGACAGAGGGTTCGGCTTTGGGCTAAATTGGTTTAGGCTTAGGCTTTGGGTTAGAGTCCGAGTCCCACCCCCGGCCCCAGCAGGCTGCAACCCATGTGGCCTGTGGCTTTTGCCACTACGACAAACAAATCACTTGCTTGGCGTAGTGCTTGCTGGGTATCGTGCCAGACAAGCCTGTGCGAAATGACGGTTTACTCGTGTTGTGTTGGTTACTTCCATGGTTAGATTTCCACCGATCCTGAACGTTGAATTGGACTTGGATTGGTTTGGTTTGGAAAGAGATATTCTCCTTTCATTTAATTTTTTAATAAAAAAATATTTTTTTCTCTTAATTTTAGCCCTGGTATCAAAATTGCATTCTTCTTTGTGTTTTTATTACATAGAGAAAAGTTTATTAAACACATAAATTAAATTTATCCTAAAAAAAAGGATAAATTATTTATTTAAGAAAATTTGCGATGGAAGATTTGTAGTATCTTGTCGTGTTGGTAATCTTTTACTACCGTCCAAATGCAATGCAAAATAATATATTTTAATTTTTAATTTACTTTTAATCTTTAATTTTTTTATGAGAAAAATATTAAATCCTTAAATCTTTTCTAACTTATAACTTCTAAAAATCTGATATTTGAATCAATGCCCGACTGATGATACAAACAATAGAGTTGAAGATACGAATATGCAAAGGCATTTAATTTGCATGTGGCTTTCTCCTACATAAAAGACTAATCCTTTGCTTGTGATTAGGGAAACGAAAACTCACCATTTTTGGTTATTATGTAGGTTACTGTACTATACCATGTTATTGTAAGGATGGTTTTTCTCTTTTTTAGAATTTGTTGTTCTGACTTTCATGGATGGTCCTTTCCATTTGGGTCACGTATCCTGTTTTAAGTTGCTTTTACTCAATCTTTTGCAGTTTATTAAAAATGATTGAATAACTTGGTTTGTAAACACAAGGGAAGAAGAAAAAGAAAATGGAACTTCAAAATCCTCTCCCTACTTTTCAGTTTCAGCTATTAGTATATTCAACAATTGAGTTCTTGTATGCAAAAAATTATCAGAAAAAAAAAATGAATATATATGTAACATAACCCTACACAGTTTAGAACCATCGCACCAGTTGCTCCCAATGCTTGTGACATATTGGCACAGGTGGACATCGACATGGAACTTCAGAATCAAAGGCAAATGATCAGTGGGATGAAGCAGCAGTCTGGTTGGCCCTTTCTTTCACCATGGTCTTAACAAAGAGCTCCCCTCCTCTATATGAGGATCGAACCTGCAACAAAGAAGTACATGTTTTGCAGTATCAGAAGTCTTGATGGATGAACTTGAGCAGAAGTTAGTATAGCAAAAATAGGCCTTAAAAGAGAAACCATGTCCTGAGAAGTTATGTACAGGAAGCTGGTAACTAACTGTAGCCAATTCCGTAGAAACTCAAATTGATTTCATTGGAACAATAAGTTTCTCTTGCTAATCAATATGTGAGAAGAAGTCCCTTTCTATGTTAATTCGGTGGTCTGATTGGAATTCATGAAATACTACCACAATCATATATAGCAGTGAACTACAAAGAGCTTACCAGTGGTCCACTAGCTACATAACGAAATCCAATTGACTCCCCGTATTCCTTCCAGAAAGCAAACTTTTCAGGTGTAACATATTCTTTGACAGTCAAATGGAGTGGTGTAGGCTGCAGATATATGAATGCATTTAAGTTAATACTAACTTTCACTCCCAGATAAGTTACAATGACTATAATGCTGATACTATAACTTGTGAAGTGACAACTTGAGCTATTATGGACATTGATCAAGGTAGGATAGTCGTGCAGGGGCAGTGGTAAGCGTAAACAGGTTTTTGCAACATCATGAAATCATAAAAACGACAACTTGAGCAACCAGAGGAACATCAATTAACTGAAGAAGAATAAAAGCAGAAGACACTAATCATGAACAATCTTTTGCTCAACATGAAAATTACTATTAACTAATCATGGGCAAACACTGCTAGATCACATGAAATAAAGGTCTGACAAACTAACTAGGTCCATCTATCCTCCAGCCAAAGTCCCCATATTTGAAAATTTACTTGTGCTAGACATCTTTGCATATAAAATTTACCTGCAGATATTGTCCAAGTGTAAGAATATCAACGTCTATAGCCCGTAAGTCAGCTAGGGCTTCCTTTAACTCATCATCACTTTCACCAAGGCCAAGCATTATAGAAGATTTTGTTATCATTCCTTCTCTGCTGAGCTTTGCATGTCTTAGAACAGACAAGCTCCGCTCATACCTGCAACATTAAACAAAGTAGACTCTTAACTAGCTAGTACAAGCAACCTGATATTGATTCTCAGAAAACTGACCTCAAAACTGGAACATGGTGGGCCAAAGTGCTAAAATATCATGTTCTCTAAATACTTGAGAAGCCATCATATTGCCTCAATAAATGATTGATAAACATGTAATTCAAATAAAAATTCCATAATTCAGTAAAGCACTATCATAAGTTTCATTCATGCTTTAAACCAAAAAAAAAAAAGAAAGGACAAGGTAAACAAATGCAAAGCATTGGTCTTTTATGTCCCAAGAAATGCTAATTAGGAAGTACTTATGTCAAACTTGATCACTTGCACAAAAATTTCTGCTTGGCAGGCATTAAAGTTGCCCCAAAATAATTCTTAGGTTAAGTAGCATTCCAACAATGGTAAATGGTTGAAACAACGTAAGAATCTGGAATCTTCCCAAAGCAAATGTTGTAAGACAAGCCTAATGCTAGCCTTGGAGTACTTGCCCCACGAACAAAATAATTGATGATATCTCCCCGTATAGGACTGTCTAAACATCAGCTTCCTCTCCAAATTGACTCCAAGGTTATAAATCCAATCCACATCTAATCCACTCCAAGTTCAAGATTAGCTCTATTGCTCCAAAAGTGGACTATAGATGGCACCAAAGATCTGCAAGTGCTCAACTACCAAGAAAAGTAAAGGACCCATACCAGTGTACCAAAGTAGTTTTGTTTTATTTTTAACTTAACTCTAAGGGGAAGAAATACTAGAAATAGCTATTTTAAATCTTTTGGTGTTTGTTCCATAAAAAAAGGGGTCTTTTGGTGTTTGACATAACTATGTCAATGCCCTAACACCTACATAGTTGAAGTGGAAGGATGCTGTCCACGCATCATGGATAACTGCACCACTTACCCAGCCCGAGGATCCCTGACAATTCTTTGGAGCCGTTTCACAGTTTCAATGTTATGAGCGAAGACATCTAATCCTGAGTGAACCAAAGTGTCTACAGCTTTCAAATCACCTTGAAAATCAGAAGTTAAACATTCAACCATGATCTCTGGCTTGAGCTTCTGCACAGTCATATACAAACCCATAAAAAATTCCATTTACATTCCAATCCCTTCCTCAAAAATATGCATTAAAAACTAAGAACAAAAATGCAGCTGAATGCTATAGCAAGGTAGATATACAACCTTCATTGCTAGGACTGTTTGAGCAAAATGTCCACTTCCTCCATCAGGTAAATCATCACGATCTACACTAGTCAGCACAATGTAATCCACACTGCAGATATAACAGCACGGAATCATAAATTATGCTAGCACTCTTTAGAGATGAAATGATACACGATGAAGATGTTTATGGATGTGTGGCATGAATCTTAAGCATTGTGTAAAAGAATGAGTGAAGCATAACCATTTTTAAACAATGGGAGCTAAACAAGGCAAGCAATAAATGAAAGCAAAATTTTATAAAGCCTACCCCCAACTCGCAATGGCCTGAGCTGTATTTTCAGGTTCCGTGGGGTCTGGTAGTGCCGGTTTCCTACTGGTTTTAACGGCACAAAATCGGCAACCCCGGGTGCAAGTGTCCCCAAGCAGCATTATTGTTGCAGTAGCAATGCCATCCCCACCTCCATTCCAACACTGTCTTGAAAAATTGATTACTTAACAGCTAAAAATACTTCATAATTACTTGGGAACAAAGTTTAAAAAGAAGAAAAGAGAGAATACCTCTCCAATGTTGGGGCACTGCGCTTCCTCGCAAACAGTATTGAGATTTAAGCGAGAAAGAGATTGTTTAACCTCTTCAAACCTCTGCCCTTGAGGAGCTTTCTGCCTTAGCCACTCCGGCTTCTTCACGTTAGGATCTCTACCCGTAAAGGGTCCCATCTTTGGTATCCCACCTGGGTATGGCCCGTTTTTGGCATCGGACTCCATCAGCTTACCGGCTGCCGATAATGATGTGGATTGTGGTCTTTGGAGATCAATCTTCGACGCTGAATCTAAAGATTCACATCGGATTTTCACCTGTGAATACGACCATGATGGTTTTGGAAGTTTTGGGATGGGAATTGAAGCTGAGATTGAAGGTTTTGACATTGATACCGACATTTTCACTTTTTTAAAAAACAAACTGGAAAATCGAAATAGGAAAACATAAGTTGGAAGCAAAGCCAATGTTAAAGTGTTAAGCTGTACACAAGCGAAGGAAATTTTTGGTTTTTCAGAAGCCGTTGCTTTTTCGAGAGCTCTGTTTTGTCCGCCCAACACTCAACTTGTTTTGTTTTCTTTGCGGGGGTTCGGTTCTGTTCTGTTCTGTTAAAGGTTGGTAGGTAGTTGGCTATTTCTAATAGAAAAATTTATAAATTTTTATTATGTAAAATATTAATAATTTATATATTTATATTTTTTTATATAAAAATTACCTATTATAATTTATATTTTAAAAAATTTATAAATTTTTATTATATAAAATATTGATAATTTATATAGTTATATTATATTTTATTTAAAAAGTATATATCATAATTTATGTTAACATAAAAATATAAAAATATATTTTTTAAGATTTGTTAAATTTATTTATAATATTTGTTAAAATTTTAAATCAATTATTTTTATATTTATAATATTTATATTAATATTTTAAATTAATCAAATATAATATTTAATATTATTTTCGTAATTGAAAAAAATTTAGCTAAAAAATTTTATTTAAAAAATAAAATTAAAAAATTTAAATTTCGGTATAATGTAAAAAAGTATGACAAATACTTAAAATATTTAAAAATATATAAAATAAATAAATAATTTTTATTTCAAAAATACTTTTTAGAATTTGAGTTTATAAATTAAATTTTAAAATAAAAATAATTTTTTATTATTTAATATTAAAATTAAATAAAAATTATTTTCTACGAAAATATTAAATTAGACTTAAAATCTAAAAATCAAAGTGATGGTGTCGCTTCTTCTACCGGATCTGATTTTACTGTTTTCCCATTGCACCTGCCCTTTTAGTTTTTAGGACTCTGCCCACCCATCACCCATCGTTATGAAAATGCTGATACGAATTTGGCAATTGTTAGCAGAAGATTATATTTCAGTCAAAGATTTCCTCAGGCCAGAGAACTTCAACAATAATGAGTAACAAAAGATATCTGAAACTTTTCCTTCATCTATTACCATTGACAATATCCACCGAAAATTACTAATAATACTATTTTAAATTACTGACTAATAACAAAAGTTTCAAAGCAATGCAGTCCGTCGAAAATTGGTGCTAATGACGTTCCTTCACGTTTGAAGTACTCCCTCGTTTCTACCATATTCTTTGTCTCCTTGAAGACTGCCTTGGTAACCCAAGAATTACCCAACTGTGTTGGTTTGGTTGTTGTTGAATTGTTTTTCACCGTCGAGATATGAGGCAAAGGCAATCCGAATTCATCCCCAAAGTAATCAGGGGATATTGAACTGCTTAATGATCCGAAAATCGACATTGTTTCAGTGTTGAGTGAGTTGACAAGGTATTATTAGAGTTGCTGCAGCAAAACTACTTGACCTGTAGAAAAAGACGACAATAACACAAGGAGATGAAGAAAGTCGAAGAGAAAAAGGATGATTTGAGATAGGCATAAATAGTCACCTTCTATGTATAACCATAATCCCAATCCCAAACGGAATAGGACTTGGAAGGAGGGCGGTTATTTTATTTTTCTTGTGCTTCAAGCAACAACTCAGGAATTTTCCTAGTCCAATTCACAGTAGGAATAAAATAAAATAAATTCACACCATTTCCCCTCTCTCTACCCTGCAGAAATTGAAAAAGAAAAATAAAAAGAATCCGCATTATAAACCGGCTCAATAGTGCAGCTGAGAAAATTTTACAATCCAAACAAAGTACAATATTTTTAAATATTCTGTAACCAGCAAAGACGATTAGGGTGATCAAATCTCAGAACACTGTCTTAATTTTTTCACATAGAAATAAAAAAAAAAAAAAGTTTCATGTTCAGCTTTCTGCACTTCACTTTACACACGTACGAAATTCTGATAAGGTGACCATTTCAAACCATCAATTGCTGTCAATTTGTTTAATAATTCAAACATTTTATTAGTTCACAATTCAAAACAGAAACCCAATCCCTTTCAGCACAGAAATGTGTCATTTGTCGATTTTTTCCATCCTCCAATTCACAAACTGGTGTTTGGGTGTCTGTTCTTCCTTCCATTTGGTTCGTTGAAAGAAAGAGTGCAAAATGGGTTTTTATTTGAATAAAACATTTTCGAAAGATGCATGTGGGTGGGCACCCAAATTTGATCATTAACTCTCTATGCACAAATGACAAATCTTTATTTCATTGCCAAAAACTATAACGCTAAACTTATCTATCAAAATAGCATATGCATATGATATTGTAATTTCCTTTGAAACAGATTTAGCCATAAAAAATTTATTAAAAATGAAAAATTTTGTCCTAAAGCTTTAGTTTTGGGCTATGAGATTCTTTGAACATTAATTTCATTGAAATCTTCCTTATAAATAAAAAAAAAAATCATATGTATCAAAACATTAAATATGATCTCTTTTTAATTAAATGTTTGTTGCACCCCAAGCATTTAGTTTAATAATTTTTTTACTGGAATAGGAGATGGAAATGGTGGGTTTCGAACTTTCACCTTATATATTTTTTTAAACTTTTGTAATCATTAAATCAAGAAGCTTAAGACGTAATTAATAGTATATGTTTTTTGTTGTTCAAATTAAAAGTTAAATTTAAACCTTTGATTACCTTTATATATAGTATTTACTAATTTATAGAAAAAAAGAAAAAAAATAGTGTTCATTAAGTTAATTTGTAGTGTTTCAAAAATAGCTATGTTTAAGTTTTTTAATTTGATAACTATTTTATTTTTACAAATACTTTTATTTTGAACCATCAAAATAGATAAATATGACATTTTTCTAAATAAATAAATAATTTTACATTCGATTTCGAGAAGAGAGGGGAACAGGAGATGGGTGACTTGGTTGCTATAATTACTCCGGTTTGGTACATGCCATGTTTATATATATTTTTTAAACAATTAAAGGGATACACAATACAATGGGAGTGAGTAGACCACAACTGCCTTCAACCACTCGCTGTTTGTCAATTGATTATCTTTCCGAACGATACAATCGAGAGCTTGATCGGAAGGCTTCCTATTAGAGGGATCACTTTATGGATGTCAAATTAATTGATTTTTTCTTTTTTTTTTTGTGTAAAAGAAATCACAGTTTAAAAAATTAAAAAAAAAATTATAAATGTTGATATTTAAATTTTAAATTTTTTGAATGTGATTTTTTAATAATGATTGTACGAATTAATTATATTAAATTTTAAATTTTAGTTGATTAATTTTGATAAATAACGAAAATTTAATAAAATCATCATGCCACAAAATGAAATCATATAAGCAAGAAAACTTATTAAGGATTACAAAGTTAAAATATAATCATATAACTTTCCCAATATACAATTAAGATTTCTATCCTAAATTTGAATGACATATGATGAGCTTATGACCTTAGGGGAAAAGCAAACAAAAAAAAAAAAACTGAAAATTTTCCTTCATCTACCGAAAATTATTACTTTAAATTACTAATAACAAAAGTTTCAAAGCAAAGCAGTCCATCTAAGATTGGGGCTAATGCCGTTTCTCCACGTCTGGACTCCCTGGTTTCTGCCATCCGCAAGCAGTTGATGAACCCATTCTTCATCTCCTTGAGGACTACTTGTGTAAGCCCTGGATTACCCAATTCTGATGGTTGGTTTGCTGCTGCGTTGTTTTTCACCTGTGGCAGAGGCAAACCAAATTCATCAGCAAAGTAATCATCACCAAAGTAATCAGGGGATATCGCCCTGCTTAATGAACCGAAAAGCGACATTGTTTGAGTATTGAGTGAGCTGACAAAGTATTAGAGTTGCTATGACACAAATGAGAATGGAAGGAGGATCAAGAAATTTGAAGAGAAAAAGATTAATCGATTTATGCATAGATAGAACCATCTTCTCTATTTAAATAGAAGGGAAGCGTAATCCAATCCCAAACGGAATACGACTTGGAAGGCTCTATTTAAATATAAGAGAAGCATAATCCCAATTCCAAACGGAATAGGACTTAGACCCTTCACTCCTTTGTTTTTTCTTCCAAAAAAAAAAATCATAAACCACCTAAAGGAAGTAGCTGATTAAATTTTACAGTCCAAACAAGTACAACATTTTCAAATATCCTGTGAAAAATCATACAAGCAAATAGTAACCGGCAAAGACGATTACAGTGTTCTAATCCCAGAGAGCACTGCTTTAATTTTTCTCAATAGAAATACAAGTTTTCAAGCATCAGCCTTCTGCAATTCGCTTTCCAAAAAATCAAATTCGAGGGTGACCATTTCAAACCGTTAATTGCTCCCACTTTGTTTAATAATTCAAACATTATATTAGCTCACAGTCCGAACCAAAAGGCCGATCTTTTTCAGGACTGAAATATGACATTTGTCTATTTTTGCCATCCTCCAATTCACAAAAATGGTGTTTAGGTATCTTATCTTCCTCCAATTTGGTTCATTAAAAGAATGCAAAGAAAGAGTGCAACAAAATTTGTTTTCTTATCTGAATAAAATCATTTCCAAACGATGTAAGTGGGCAAATTTGATCATAGTTCCCTATTTACAAATGACAAAATTTTCATTTCATAAACAAAACTAAAATACTAAAGCTTCGTTTGTTTTTTGCATTTTTCAATGCAAAGTGAAAAAACAAAAATAAAAAAATGAATTGAAAACAGATGACAAATAGCAAAAAGCACCAGCACTAGGGATGGCATCAGGTCGGGTTCGGGGCGGGTTTTGCTCGCCCCAAATCCGACCCGATTTTATGCTTTATTAAACTCGAACCCGATTCGACTCGATTTTTTTAATACTCGAACTCGACCCTATCCGATACTATGTAAATCGTACCTGATCCGATCCGAAATTAATAAAAATATTATTTTTTTAAATATAAAATATTATTTTTTAAATATAAATATTTAAAAATATCATTATATAAATATATATAAATAAATAATTTTTTAATTAATTAAAAAATAATTTTTTAATAATGTCGGGTCGGGTTTTAGGCATACCCGAACCCGACTCGATCCCGATTGTTACCTAATTTTACCCGATCCGACTCCGACCCGAAATTCAAAAAAAAAAAAAAAAACCCGACCCTATAGGGTTGGATCGGGCCGAAACCCGTCGGGGACGGGCTTGATT